GGAGTGGGAGCCTGGGGGCGGGGAGGGGCTGAGACCCGGCCGACCCTCCTCCCCGCGCGGCGCCCGCGTCCTGCGCCCCCGCCGGGCGGTCCCCTCGCTCCTCCCCGCAGACGCCGCTTCCCTCCCGACCCCGCACTCACCCGCCCAGGTCTCGGTCAGGGCCAGGACCCCCGAGAGCAGCAGGAGGAGGGTGCGGGGCGCCGTCACCTCCATCCTCAGGGTCTGGGGAGATTGTGAGTCCGGGTAGGTCCGAGGGGACTTTATCACCGGGAACCGCGGCGACGCTGATTGGCTTCTCTGGAAACCGGACGCCCATTGGGAGTGAGAACTGGGGCCGCGTCAGCAGTATCCAGGAAGAAGGACCTGAGTCGGGTTGGGACTGGGAGAAGTGAAACTCGGGGAGATGGGGAATCCCCGACGATGAGCGTCGCCGCCCGGGTCGCCGCCCTCGGAACTGAGGCCCTGAGAGGCACGCCCGGGGTCCTGCGACATTGCCCTGACCCCTCCCCTCCTGCACCGAGCGCTCTTTGTCACACTGTCTCCCTGAGTCCCTGCCCAGGAGCTGTCTGAGGAAACCAGGGACAGACCCCCAGGCTGGGCCCAGCCCCTGTCCCTTCACTTCCCGCCCTGGAATCCCTCTCTCTGAACTGGACTCCCTGCCTCCTACTCCTTTCCTCTCCCCCTGGACTCTTCTAGAATAAACTCACCCCAGGGAACTTGATGCCAGAATGAGCTCGCCCTGAGATTGGAGGTGTAGACACAGGGGTTTTCTCTTTAAACCTGGAGACTTCCTGTCTGAACACACCATATGGAAAGATTCCCATAGAGACCCGTTTCCTTTTTGCTTATTAACTAGGGTGGGCAGCACAATCTTGGTAAACCCTGAATGATCAGGAATCTAAGGTGTAAAAGAAGTGAGTTTGGCCCCTCGGTATATAAATGTGTCTAAACGCGTTACAGTTAGACTCAGAACGCTCTGAATTTTTACTCTCCCAGACTATGTGTCTTGGACTCTGAGTTGTTGTATTTTAAAATTATCTTCGCTCCATAGCCCTGAGTCTGTGTGCGAGAGTCCAGGACATCCCCTCATATAAAGGAGCACAATCTGTTACTGTCTATTTCAGCCAGGAGTCGTAGGACTTTAATCACTTCAGAGCTGCACATGCTTAGTCAGAATGCCCCTCACCAGCGCTCGCGCCTTGCCCATTTTCATGAATCATTCACATCTAAGCTGTGTGCGTATTTTGGGGGGACACTTGGTATTTTTAACCTGATTAACATTAGGAGGCAATTAGCGTTTAGGCGGCCTGGCAAATGTATTAGTTACGAAATACAGGCTGCTGGAACAGCAAGAGCCAATCATGGAGCTACGCATGGGGAGTTAGTCCTGCCTGGGACGGAGGACCAGGAGCGGATCCTTCGGAGACATCTGCCTGGGTGCCAGCATCCTCTCTGGTGAAGAAGCTGCCATGAAGCTCAAATGTGAAAACAAAGCACCCCCAGCTGCACATCGAGAGCAAGTTCTATGTTTTTTTAAGTTAAAAAAAAGAAAAAAGAAAAATTACCAAATACAAAGAACACCCTGCTGGGCTCTGTACATATGTTTATTAAAATTTATAAAACACTGTGTTTAAATCTGAGAATTCCTCTGCTTTAGAACTCTTTCCCTCTGCTCCTGTTCCTCAGCTCCTGCTTCTCCAGCCCTTCCCTCTGTCCCTCTCATCCCTCAGGCCACTTTCCCTCTTAGTCCCACCACCTCTCACTCCTGACCTGTGACAGTAGCACTGTCCCCTCACCTGCTGCCCACAATGTCCTCCGCACAGTGGTCAGCAGTCCTGCTAATGTGTGTCAGGACCTCTTACTTCTTCACTGCAGATGCTCCGATGGCTCTGTCTCGTTCTTGCAAAACCTCTGGAATGTAAGGCACATGGGCACAGGGGCTTTGGGCTGTTTGAGTCAAAGCTGTATCCCCACTATGTAAAGACGAACCTGGTACAAAGTGGCACTAAATTAATTTTTGTTGAATGAATAAATGAAATCTCATTGTCTTAAAATTTAATTTACTCACATAAAAGTTGTAAACATAAAAATACTAAAAGAGTTAGGAAAGATTTTATTTCATGCAACTATTACATATCAGTTCATAAATTCATTCCAGTGGAAAAAATGTTATGTGCTTATGAGGCACGGTGTGGATGGGTTCTCTGTTCAGGGTTTCACAAAGCCGTGTCCTCATCTTGAGGTTGGGTCCTCCCCCAAGCTTGTGTGGAGCCTGTGAGCAGAGTTCAGTTTCTGGCAGTTGCAGGACTGAGGTCCCTGTTTCATTGCTGGCTATCAGGGTGGGGGTTGGGGGACCAGCTCCCAATTCCTGGTGCCCGCCAGCATTTCTTGCCATGTGGCCTCTCCACTTTCAAAGCTCACAGTGAAGAAATTTCCTCACACTGAGTCCCTCTCACACTGTGAATCTTGTAGCTCCATAGATTGCTATATTAGAGACAGAAATTATCTCCTGAGTTTTGCAGGGCTTTGCCCTGAAGGAATATGTGAACGCGTTAGTTTGCATATCAAAAGCTGCCTCTCCTCAGGAGGGCATCTCAAAGGTCAGTAGCAGCTGCTTTCCAAGGTGACACTGGAGT